CATATTTTTAAAATATAATAGTTATATGACCTTGGATACATTTATAAAACTGTCTTAACTTTGTTTTTCTGTCTACAAAATGGTAATAATTATAAAATTTGTCAGTCTTAAAGGGATGTTGGAAGACCTAAATGTAAGTGAAGATTTTTTCACAGTAGTAGACACATAGGAAGTACTTAGTATACTATGGCTATTATTATTGTTATTATTGTTAATATTACGTTTATTAATTTTAGTTTTTTAATGTAACAAGTGCAGAACTATAATTTTACATTCTTTAGAGTTATGTTGATTTTGTATTTTTTGGTTCTTTGACTAGTTTAGTGATTTATTACAAGAAACCTAGTTAGTTTGTGTATTTTTTTTCTTTTTTATATTTTTTATTTGTAAAGAACTGATAAACCAACTGTACTTTTAGACCTGGTGACATAAATTGTTGGGGCCCCAAGCCTGTGGGCCCCGGCTCCCATTTTTTAGGAGAGGAGACAGTAAATTTCCACTTTTATCAGTTTTGAAATGACATTTATTTGTCCAATGTCGACCTTTACCACAACATTTGTACACCTCTGAAGGCAGCTTTCTGTCTTGAGGGATAAAAGTGTTTAATTTTTATGACATTTTTTTTTGAAATGTTTAGGTTTACCACACTGAAAGCAAACACCTTGTTTGTTATTTCCTTTTAAGGCTTTAGACAAAGTTCCAGTAAATAATTGAGTATTATAAATAGCCCCTCCAACACTAACACAAGTTTTAATATATTTATTTAAATTGGCCCCATTGGCCTTTAACGATTTTAACAATTTTTGACAGTCAGTATAAGTATTTTTAAAAGACAACGTTTGTAACAAAATTTTTGAAGTAAGGTCAGCACCCCCAATTTTTAAGACAGTATTCTGAAGACGGGCTACGAAATCTGAATATTGTTTATTTGTGCCCAGTAAAATCTTCACAGAGGAAAGGGAAGATTTTCCTGTTATCTTTACCTTATTTTAGGACCTTAAAAACAAAGTCTTGATTTGAGTAAGGGCAACATCTTTTAGACCAGCCTGAGCACTAAGAGTAGCATATTGGCCCGTGCCTGTGAGTTGTTCCTCAGTGGCTTTTGGGGGATTATACATAACATTTTTTTTAGCCTGTACATGTGCCTTGTTCATTTACCAGCTGTGCAATTGTAACCACTGAGAACGATCAAGAAAAGCCTTTCCCAAAGTCTTTCAGTCTATAGAAATTATCAAATTTTCTGATGAAAAAATATCAAGAAGACCAAGGATAGGGGTTTATAGTTAGAAATGGCAGCTTTTATTTTTTTTAAACATTTAATTTGTAAGGCATTAAATTGGACATTATTGCCACCATTTGAAAACT